TCACTCAGCATGATGTTCTCCAATTCCATTTATAGATTAAAATTAAACTTGGTTCTTCTCTTCCCCCTCCTCCCCAAAGTCATTGTGATTTTTGGGCTTAGAATTGACCTATCTTATGAAACTGTTTGGTATGTGTGTATGTGTGTCTTAATGTAAACAATAATTCTTTAAAAAAAATATATTTTATTGATTTTTTTACAGAGAGGAAGGGAGAGAGATACAGAGTTAGAAACATCGATGAGAGAGAGTCATCAGTCAGCTGCCTCTTGCACACCCCCTATTGGGGATATGCCCGCAACCAAGGTACATGCCCTTGACCGGAATCGAACCCAGGACCCTTCAGTCCCCAAGCCGACGCTCTATCCATTGAGCCAAACCGGTCCCGGCTATAAACAATAATTCTTAAATGAACACCTGTTAGTGTATTCCTTTTGCAAGCATTTTAAAGATTTTTTTAATGATCAATTCTGCTCTGTGAACGGAACACATCATTATTCCCTAATTAGCTGGGAGTCTAGAACTGGTTACCTCCTGGGAAAGACCAGATGCAAGCACAAGAAACCCAATGAAACTAGAAAATGCAGGTGGGAAAGGGAAAGCAATATAAAACAGAATTACATCTCAATATTAATTTTTTTCAAATATGAATCTGATATGTATATGGGATACAGTATTATGCAAAGTTTTAAAGAACAGGCACTGGTAAAAAATGACTAAATTATCTGACTTGGGCAAATTACTAAACCTCTCTGAGTGTCATTTTCCTGCCTAGTAAATGGAGATGATAATCCCTCTTATTAAGAGTTGATTCGAGAATAAGATTAAATAATGAATGTGAAATACTTAAGAGGTTGGACACATTATAAGCTTCATGAAATGTATATTCATTATTAGTATTTGGGCGGGTGGATGACCAACATTTCATTGCTTGCCAACTAGATCTAGGGAATTGTGGGACTTCTTCAGTATTATGAGGAAATTTGCCATTAGACATCAACAATAAAAATGGCATATTTTTTTCCAAAGTTTTTGATTGGGCAGGTTTTTAAAACCATTAAATTTTTTTATAAGCACTTTTCCCCTTTTTTAATTTTGTACACCTTATTTATATTCGCTTGTATGCCAGTGTGGTTTGTTAGGAACAGCTGCCCACAGCTGCAGCAGGCTTCCTGAGAAGGAGGGGTACATGTCAGACTTCCCTTCATAGGGGCTGGTGGCAGGTTCCTCTACCTTAGTCACCCTGGCATCCAAATCAAGATGCTTGCTTAATAAGGCCAACCTGGATGGGGTAGACACAGTTGACTTTCCTGGGATTCAGTGGTTCACAAAATCTAGCTTTTGTGTTTTCCATGATAATGGCACCAGCTCATGATGCACAAAGTAGAAAATGTCAAATCGATCTTCTCTTTTGAATAACCTGGTAAGCAGGCATTTGGTTTGCTTTTGAGTCAGAGATCCCCACCTTATTCCTTATGTCTCCCTGAATGCTCAGCAATTTCAGAGCAAGTTTGTCTTCAGTAAGAAGAAGCAAGGCTTTCCCCTTAGAGGAAAAAGGATGTCGAACGTAAACAGTAACAATTTAAAAAAAAGTTTTGTTGGAGTTGCCTTCAGGTTCCCGAGGTTATCAGTGTTGGGGGGGGGGGGGGGGGTTGAGATCGGAGGGGGAATGAGGGGAGGATATGTAGAGGTCAGAAATTGTAGTAGGCATGAGGTTTATTATCCATCTTATTTCAGAGGTGCATATTCAAATAAAATAGGTCCTGGATACAACAGCCAGAGAAAAACCACAGCCACTTTCCCTCTCCCTCCACGCCCCCCTCCCCCCCCCCCCCCCCCGACAACTAATGAAGGTAAGCCTGGTGACTTTAGTTAGGATCAGACATAGATGCCAGTTGGAAGATTCTCCCCCATGAGCGTGAAGGAAGAAGGTGGGCTCCTTCCTGGGTGCAGCAGGGTGGGATGCATTGGTGAATCCAGGAGCTGTGAGACATTGTTCAGAAGCCAGACAGCCCTATTTTTCTCCATTTATTTATTGGAATTTGTTCCTGCAGAATTCCATTCCTCTTGTCTCTGGGTTTTGTGATGATAACCACAGTACAGTAGAGACTGGGAGAAGCTGTAAAAACACAGGGGTCTACATCAAGACAATGCAGTTTGGTTGATTCACAAGGGCTCCCAGCCACACGTTCAGCCCTCGTGGTTTCCTCCATCCTCCCTGCTCCTCCTGTCTGCAGCTGTGGGCATGGATTCCCAAAGTCCAGTGTGCTCCCGGCTTTCTCCGTGATACCTTGCTACTTCCAGGGAGAACTGGGGACAGCCACTTAAACTCCCAGCTTCCTGGCTCCTTATCTGTCAGTGGAAATGACAGTTCTATCTTTTCTCATTTAGAGCTAGTGGTAAGGACCTTTGTGAAAAGTGATTTGGAAAAGCTGTGAAACGATAACCTACGTCTGCGTAGGCATCACCCTGCTAATCCACTCCCCGCGGATGGCTGCCCTGGGTGGGCAGTGGGCATGGTGCTGGGCTGGCAGATAGGGGATGCGGTGCCAGTGCTGAGACGACACAGGAGAACCCGCGTTCACTTTTGCTGCTGGGCTCCTTCTTGGTCAAAAGTTACATCAATTGTGATTACTACCTGCAAATTCTCTATGCCACTCTCTTTCTGTTTGTTAAGCCCGCCTGTGAAATTTGTTCACAAGTCTCTTTTTATTTTTTTAAAAATATTTTTTATTGATTTTTTACAGAGAGGAAGGGAGAGAGATAGAGAGTTAGAAACATCGATGTGAGAGAAACATTGATCAGCTGCCTCCTGCATACCTCCTACTGGGGATGTGCCTGCAACAAAGGTACATGCCCTTGACCGGAATCGAACCCAGGACCTTTCAGTCTGCAGGCTGATGCTCTATCCACTGAGCCAAACTGGTTTTGGCATAAGTCTCTTTTTAGAACCCTCTAAACAGGGTCCAGTATTCCTCCATATGTTTCTGTAGCAGCACCCTGTGCCTTGTGCAGGTGGTCATGGGTTTGTGTTCATCAAAGATGATAAACTTTGGAGGTCTTGACCCATGCCAATATGCATCTTCATGTCCCCACCATTCGATCTCTTCTCCTCCCCCCCCCTCCCCCCCCCCACCAACCTTTCAGAGAGGAAAGGAGAAGTTGAAAAAATAGAAACATCAATGATGAGAGAGCCCGAAACTCTGGCATGTGTTCTAACTGGGAATCAAATCATTACCTCCTGGTTCACAGGTTGATGCTCAACCAGGGTTGAGCTCAGGCAGGGTGTTTAGAGGAAAAATTAAAGATAAATTAGGAGGCTCAAATAAGTCAATGTTTTTTCCTGGGCAGCAAAAATTTGATTATGAGGGGCAAGCTTTAGTATATTATAATGGCTGACAACATGTACTCCCTAACAAATGCTTTGCAGTCTGGGTCAAGTTGCTTTTCCTCTTCCTGTGCCTCAGTGTCTCCATCTGTAAATGGGATAATATTACTAATTCAATAGGACTATTGTGAGAATTAAGTGAATTAATGCACATGAAGTATTTATTCAGATACACAGACAGCATGCAGGAAGTGTTAAATATAGGTAGAACATGAAAGCAAAACCCCACTTCCAAAGGTAAACATTTTCCTCCTTTTCTGAGTACTGAATTTACAGCTATCCACTTTTTTTTTTTATTGTCTACAGTTTTACATATGTCTCTATCCACTTCTTTATCTCTGAGTATTGCTGCGTCTTCTGATTCTTCATCTGTAATACCTACTTGCTCATTTCCTACGTGATATCTACTGACTCATGATAGTTTGGGATTCAAGTCTTACCCCCTCTGAGACTCAAATTTTCTCACCAGCTAAATAAGGAAAATAGCAATGCCTACCGCATGGAGCTACTGAGAGCATCAGAAGAGCTCATGCCCAGGAAGTTCTTATCTCCTGTCTGGCATATAGTAAGCATTCGATAAGTAGCAGCAGGATCACACCTATGTTTTTGTTATTTGGTTGGATGGGAAAACATTTCCTGCCATTAGAACACATCTTTGGAAGCGAGGAATTTAGTCCTAACAAAACAACTCATTAAATCTATTTTTGAAAAGAATTCTTGGAAAGGAGGTGAAAGGGTTCCAGGACCCATTTCCAATGTGTGTGTGGAGGCTTCCCCACACCAACAAGAAATTATCGGATGCCAGCATGATGTCCGGGCATTTGACTCAGTTCTGACACCATCTGCCCAGGTTGGAATCTGATTCCACAGATCAAGGAGATAAAGGACTTAGTCCCACCAGACCGCCATTCACTTCAGACTCACGCAAGCCCGGCTTGTTACCTGTGCTTCTGAATGACTGGCTGCAAATCAGAGGTTTCACTGAGACCCTCCTTGGGCTCCATTCATTTGCTAGAATGGCTCATTCTAGCAAATTAAAACTAGAAAAACCCATTTGCTTGCTAGATGACCAATTTATGGTAAATGCTAAGAATATGGATCCACCGCCAGTGAAGAGAGACATAAGGCAAGGTGCCGGAAGCCGATTATTGTTTCGGTAATAGAGAGCTGAGGACAGAGAATTCGGAGGGCTGATCAACCTTAATTGCTCTAGCAGTGTTTCCCAAAGGGTGGTACGGGAAGAGTTTGGTGGGAGTACGTGTTGCACCGGAGTTTGGTGGGGATATGCACTGCACCGTGCTTAGCTGCGCCTAATTCTATGTTCTCATGAGTATGAGGGGTACTCGGCGTTACGAAAATTATAGAAGGGGTACACATATGTCAAAAGTTTGGGAAACACTGAAAGTTTTAATCCTCTAACCATAGATTGGCTCCATTGTCAACCAGTTCTGTTCTCTAGGTGTATTCCTAAGGCTACTTCCTTAACATAAAAGAGACTAGTACCTTGATCACTTGGGCGCTCTGTGTGGGAGATGGGGGCAAAGACCACATCGTTAATTCTTGTTTTAAGCCACAACATTACAGGAGACCTCTGCATCTCTTTTCACTGTTTCAGACGTTTCTGCAAGTGATTGGTGTGGTCGGCGTGGCGGTGGCGGTTATACCGTGGATCGCAATACCCTTGGTTCCCCTCGCCATCATTTTCATCGTTCTTCGGAGATATTTCTTAGAAACGTCCAGAGATGTCAAACGCCTGGAGTCTACAAGTGAGTACAAAGGCTCTCAGGTTGGGATGGCAGCAGTGCAATCTGGCTTCTGTACATGCCCTAATTAAGGAGGTCCCTGAAATTCTCATCAAGTTAACATGAACTGAGGACTAAAACCTCCATTAGTCAGTGTGCCTCTACCGCAAACAGATCAGTGCCACGCCAGGTGCAGCCTTCAGCTTGGCATAAGGCAGGAATGGATATCTGTGGAGTAATATTTCGTGGGAACGTGAGCACTGAAGACAGACAGTTTTCCTCCTGGTCATGACATACCTCCTAATCTGGAGCAGAAGGCCATACATGTTTTTCTGAGGTATAAAATTTCTCATCATGTTTTAACTAGTATAGAAATAAAACAGCTTCTCTCCCCCTTTCCCAGAATTTACTAGTAACGACAAAGGAAAGGAAAAGATTAAGAGGAAGAAAAGGAGGTGTCAGGAAATACACTCATGTCAGAAAGTGATACATTTGAAAAACATATTACTCTCACATACCCCAAAAATGTCAAATAAGTTGTGGTTGTTAAATGTTTTGAAAAGATAAGCACTGCTATTTTCAATTTTGCTATTTATTGTCACCAGTAGTGTCTCACTGTTTGAGGGCCCGTCTCCCCGCCCCCCCCCCCCCCCCCCCCGCCCGGGGCGGGGGTGTCCGTATAAATGGATACTGAAAATAATCCCCTTGGGAGGACACAGAAGAGGGATCAGTTTAGTGTGTCACTCTATTCAGCTTCCTAGTGTTAAAATAGTGGGGAAAGCATTTGACGATTTACCATTATGTTCTACAGGTAATCACAGAGGACATACCAATAATGAGCTTATCTCATTAATGCACAAACATTTTGTTAGTAAAACAACAAAATTATAAGGAGAATAGATATTAATATATTTTTTAAATCTTTGAGGACGACAGCCAAAATATAAAGAAGGAATTTAAGTAAGAATAGCTAATATATATATTTTTAAATCTATAAGGATGATAACCCAAACATAAGGGAGAAAGATATTTGTATCAGAAACCTCAACTGAGGATAGTTACTGCAAAATAATACTTAGCTTTCTGGAAGCCAGGCTAAGGAGAGAAATGTTGATTCCCACGGTTCTCCGTATCTACCAAGTGGAAAAATACAAGTTCATCAGGATAAAAGAGTTTTTGTTGTGGCAAATGTGTGTTTCTTTTTTAATAATAAATTCTAGAAGGGCAGTTGTCCTAAGTATTTGCATAAAGGCTAGTGGGTGACAGTTTCATAAAAGCTATAGCACACTTTTCAGTCATCAAGAAATCCAGTTAAACTGCTGTTGAGGGTTGGCTTTCTCACATCTTTTAATGGGGTGGCAGAGCAGGAGCAGTGTGGTCAAGTGGTTGATAGCATTCTGTTGATGTGATTTGTTACGATGACAGGACTTGTAGAAGCAGGACAAGTGATAAGCCCCAACTATTCTATTGTGTAGACAACAAGGCTTCAGTCATTTACTAGTTGAGGCCACTCTTTTCTCCACACCTCACAGATAACCAAATGTGGCAGCCAGTTGATTAGACCTTCTGGTCAATGCCATAAGTAACAATTCCACTGTTTCCTCTAAGCTGGTGTTTCTCAAACTTTTGACATATGTGTACCTCGTCTATAATTTTCCTAATGCTGAGTACCCCTCGTACTCATGAGAACATAGAATTAGGCGTAGCTAAGCACAGTGCAGTGCATATCCCCACCAAACTCTTCCCGTACCCCTAGGGGTACATGTACCACACTTTGGGAAACACTGCTCTAAGCAATAATTGATAGTACTTCTTAAGGCTGCTGTTGAGACCACCAGCAAAAAGAAGGACATCTAATTGTCTTGGCTAGATGGCACAAACTTGCTTCATCCGTGTGCTTTGAATAACTGCTAAAGTCCTGAGGTTTACTTTCAGGTCACACTTGAAACCTTGCAATCTTGGGCTGACATTTATGCTGCCTTGCTGTCAAATCTACAATTGATCTAATGGTTTTTCATTTTTGCAATTGTGAGCTTAGCAATGTTCAATCATAGAGAAGTACATAAAGCCTGGATGGCATTTAGTTGTATTTCTGTAGCCAACTCTACTCATTGGGCAGTGCCTGAATCATGAAGCCATATTCAAATTTTGTCTGTAAGGGTTCTGTGGTCAACTAGCAATGTCTGCCAGGGACATTGCTGGGGGAGTGTTAACACGCATGTGCCACGTGTTTTCAAGTCATGGATCCTCATGTCTGCTGTTTTAGAGTTCTTATGCCAGTTCTTAGGGGCTTTTTTCAACCTAAGATGCTTAATAAGATGTGCAGTATTGAGTAAGGCTTGTGAATTAAGATTGTAGGGTTTTCTAAAGATAAACTACAAAATCTGGGGCGGGGGAGAGATACATTTAGTCATACAAGGCATCTTTAACCCTAATTATTCTCTCTGTGAGGTGCTGTGGTCATGATAAAAAGCACAGCCCTGGGAATAAGCCAGAGCTGGGTCTGTCACTCAGCTCTACCAGCTACTTGGTTGATTTACTTAATCTTGGGCAGTGCTCTTAATCCCTCGGAATGGTTTTCCTTCTATCAAGAATATAGTACACCTGCCCTCTGGAGTTCTTGTGAGGATTACTTGAGTCGAGGCTTAAACAGTGCTCGCTGGCTTCTGCCAAAGGCATTAAGAACACGACAGCTAGCAGGTCACCCATAGCATTAACAAGAGCCTATAGCAAGGCTGTCAGCCCCGGGTCCTTGCAGGCAGTTCCCTACCCACCTTGCCAGGGAAGATTTGCAACTCTGTGTCTCCAAGAGTCCTCAGGATCACGGAAAACACAGCTGTCTGTCTTGTGAAATGTAGGTTACACTTGTTTGTGACTGGTGACTAATGCCATGGGTGTTACATAGGTCTACTTCAGGATAGTCGGCTTAGTCAGTGGGAAAAAGGATATTACATTGGACACGGTAATGCCAGAACCTTGGCGTCCCTTCTCTCTCTTTATCCCAGTTAATTTTCTTGGCAAACCTTCCAATTCACTCATCCTGGTATCCGCTCAGTGCTGAATGGCGTGTGGAAGACAGAGGATAGTTTTCCACAGATCCAGATTCCTGTCGTACCGCTATTGCTCTTGGGTATGCGGTGAAGAAAGTGATGTGTTCTTTGAGTGCCCTGGTGTTTGAGGCTGGTGACACCTGATTTAGAGTCCACTGTGGGGATAATCCATTGCCACTTTGACCTCCTAATGAGGGAAGCAAGTGAGGAGGACATCCAAGCTCTGGAGAATTGTAGCTCCTCTTTTTTCCTTCTCAGAAGAATTGTCGATGGCGAAATACAGTCTATGTGACAACATTTGCTCTGGGCATGAAACCATGAGTTCTCTACACATGTGTAGCACTCTCTTGATATAATGAGTCATATAAGTCCCCTGAGCCATCCTGCTGAGCACCTTCTATTCAGACTGGCCATATTTGGGGGTGGACTGGGGCATCAGCTGGTGGGTGTAGAAAAGGCCTCTATGGAGCTTCCAACCTTTCCGATTTGGCACATGAGCTCAGTCTGTGTTCATATTGCTCTCTTCGAAGTCCAAGGTTAAAGGGAGCTAAAGTAAATGGAAATTAAAAGTTGCTCAGTATGGTGGAGAGAGAACAGTGTGACCACAGCAAGACCGCAAGCCTAAAACTGGGTGGTCAGCACCATCCCAGAGTCATTTAAGGTTCTTTGCCTGGATTAGATACAAGGGAAAATGTGAGGTCCTGTCTGCCTCGGAGAAGGTTTTCTCCTTTCAGCACTGTCGCGGGCTGGGGACCCTAACCTTAGCACTAACCCTAATGGTCCCAAGTCTGGAAAGAGCCCCAGGCAGAGTGGATGGTCAGATGGCCCACAGCCCAGGACTGTCCACACATGGAGGCCTGCTCCCTCCTTGCTTGTAGAACATGCGTGGTATTGTGACATACACACTTGATGCCGGGCTAAGGAATCAGACTCTGGCATTAAGTTTGAGTTTTCCCCTATCATTTCATAAGATCTCTGTAGCTTCCTGTATCACAAGTGAGATCTTACCTTCCCCCAAACACCCAGGTTTTATCAACAGATCTTTTGAGCAGGACCATGATGAATGAGTTAGCAAAGAAAGAATTTATCTAAAACCAGCTATGACTTGAAGCTGGCCAAAGATGGGGTCAGAAAGAAGCATTTCCAGGTGGTTAATGGAAAGCATGGTGTGACCAGGGGCTTGAGGATCGACCTGCAGGGTTTTCCCAGAAGGAGCACAGCATTTCTGCCCCAACCCCTCTCCCCCCCACTTCCGCTACCCCACCTCCCCACCGCGCGCTGGGAGGCACTGGCGGTGCTGTTTGTGGGGACATGCCACCACAGATGGTTTCCCACTGACGTTCTCTGTCATCTCTCTCTGCTTCCCCAGCTCGGAGTCCGGTGTTTTCCCACCTGTCGTCTTCTCTCCAGGGGCTCTGGACCATCCGGGCGTACAGAGCCGAGGAGAGGTTTCAGGAACTGTTCGATGCACACCAGGATTTACATTCAGGTCTGTACGTTTCTGGAAAATGGTTCCAAAGGATGGGACCTGCTGCCTCCTAAGCCTTGACCTCCCTCTCAGGTGGTCTTGCTGGCTAGCATTCTCTCTGCCTCCTCCTGAGGCCAGCCCCACAACCTGTCGCTGCACATCTTCCTCCCCTCTCCTGCCCCCTCTGTGTTCCCCTCTTTCTCACTAACTGCACCACCTTCCCCTCCCGCCCCCCCCCCCCCATCCCCCAGCCTGGCTTGCGTTGTTCTTCTATCACTGGGCCCGTGACTTTTCTGTCCTTTTGGGGCAGGCATCAGGAAACTTTTTTTTTGTAAAGAGCTAGATGGTAAATATTTTAGGCTTTGTTTGCCACATTAGCTCTGTTGCAACTAGTCAACTTTGCTGTTGAAGCACAAATGCAGGCAGAAATAATGCATCAGCAAATGGTTGTGGCTGTGTTCCAATGAAACTTTATTTATAGAAAAAGGTGGCGGACTGTTCTTGGCCAGAGGGCATAGTTTGCCAACCCCTTTTCCAGAACATGTGTGGTGGCAGAAGTGGCTGAGGAGATCCACTTCCTAATTGTCAGATTTGCCCCCCTTTTGATACGTAACGTTCTTTGTATCTGTGAAGCTTTCCAATCTGTCTCATATTTTGAACGCTACACACAGATCCCTTTAGTGAGATGGCCATTTAGATACAGGCTCCTAAGGCATAAACGCTGTGTACAGGGCCCTGTAGTGAGTATGGAAGGTGCTAGAAACAGACTGGGAGCTGCCCTCGCTGCTGTTGGAGCCCTGGGGACCGCTTCATGCTGAGGCCCCGCTGAGGAAGACATGCACCGACGAGGCCATGTTTCCATGTTCTGCAGATGGATCACATTTCTGTTTATAACCTAAAGGTTGATTTTTTTTTTTTTTTTTTAATGCATGCACCCCACAAAATCAGGAAAAACCCACTGTACTGATGCCTGAGCATGTGGCACTTAGCTTTCTGGAATCTTCAGGTTCCCTGGGTGTGCAGCTCCGCTGTCTTCCTTTGTGTAAAAATTGTCTGTAGCTCGACTGAGTACAGCGTTTCCCCCTCATTCGAAGTGGCTAATGTGGTCTTTCTACTTTCCCGTGTGCTCACTGTGCTTCACAACCTCAGAGGCTTGGTTCTTGTTTCTGACCACGTCCCGATGGTTCGCTGTGCGTCTGGATGCCATCTGTGCCATCTTTGTCACCGTGGTTGCCTTCGGGTCCCTGATTCTGGCAAACAGTAAGTACGGATGGGAGTAGCTGTTTGTAGTATGATTACACTGTATAGCTGCATTTACAAGTGTTAAATTAAACTCTTGCCACCTTGTCTAATACCTAGTGGGTCTGTATTAGAGCATTTGCAGCCGGTGAGGTTGGGTGTGATTCCGCTGTTTGGCCCACGAAGAGGACCGTTGGGGTCTGGATGGGTTGGGACCTGTGGAGATGTAGCAAGATGACCCCCTGAGCATCCTGGTAGCGTCTGGTAATTGTGAGGATAGTTCACCGCTAAGCATTTTGTCTAGCTTCGGGCTTTAGGTTTTAGCTAAAGGACCACTCAGCTCTCTTTGTTGTAGGTGCCTGGGGCACTGGGTAGAGAAAGATGCTCAGCAGGAAGGAATGTTATCCTCACTGCCCCGTGGGTACTAGATGAGCAGGTGTGGGAGTGCATGGCTTGAGTTCTCCATCCCTAACTATTCCATGTTACAGCACCACATCTCAGTACTGAATAATGGAACAGGGAGAGGAGCATTTTGGATTGAAAAGCACTGGCTTTTAGTACGCATTGCTTTGTTTTTAGGGGTTTCCAAACGCAGTTGCATTGAACCTAGTAAGTGAAATGACATAATGGTCCTGGAAACCACAATGAGGAAACTAAATAATGACTTCCTCACATATATCACCTGCCAGGTGTGTGTCATTCAGTCCTGTGGGGTTAATAAACTCATGTAGTATTCATTGTGAATTCACATGAAAGTGTAACTATTACTACTATTGAATGCTATGTGTTTCAATACTCTGAAGGAGTCTTTTTGGTAAAGTGACAGAAAGAGCTGGACTCAGGGTTTAGAATGGACTGTCTTGACTCTTCTTTTTTCCCCCCGTCGTTTAGCTTTGGATGCCGGGCAGGTTGGCCTGGCCCTGTCCTACGCCCTCACCCTCATGGGGATGTTCCAGTGGTGCGTCAGGCAGAGCGCTGAAGTCGAGAATATGGTAATGTTTATCGTGACGTTCTTAGCCTCTTCCAGTCTCCTTCCCGTTAAACAGCATAAAAGCGCTCCTTATGTAAAATATTAAAACTGTTTTTACATCGGAGCTAGCGGAGTGTTTCAGATCCTCCTCCCATCTGTTTAAAGTTAATGTAAAATAGAATGTATACATCTTTTTCTCAGTCTTATGTATGCCGTGTCAGCGGGTTTTATATTCACCACAAGCTGTCTTCAAATGTAATACAGGTCTCCGTGGAAGGGAGTTTCTGAAATCCTGGAGTGGATATAAGCTAATTTCTCAGAGGCCCATTTATTTATTTTTCTTAATGGGGTTGTTCCTCATTCCTGGTTTTTAAAACATTATTATTTTTAGTTTTTTCTTTGTTTAATTGATAGGCATCTCCTCCCATCACCCCCATTTTAGCATTTAGCAATTTGCCACTGAACACCTGCATTTATTTGCTGGGGTCCCTCTTTCCGGTAGAATTAAGCTCCTTTCTGTGTCTGGTCAAAGGTGTTGCGTTACCAGCACACTTGTTTAGGAGAGCATTTGTCAATATGTAAATGATCTCCTCTTAGGAATATTTGCACCTTCTCCTAAAGGGAGGAGAATGATAAAAATGAAATACAGTCATTTTACTCTTCTAAGGAAGACAAAGTGACTATTAAAATGAGGTTTGGTGACCGCCCAGCTTAATTCATATAAAACAAGGCCCTTCCATAGCTTACATTACTGATTGGTGGCTATAAGTAGTCTTTTCTTTAATAAAATCCTCTTGTCTGTTTTGTTTTTGTTTTTATTTTTTATTCAGGTATGAAAAGTAGATAAATGAGATCTTAGCATTCTTTTCTCTCACTTTCTTAGTTTCAATATAATGTTGAGGACAGAACTAAGTTCACCCTTAAGCATTTTGTCCAGCTTAGGGCTTTTAGTATGCATTGCTACTAAAAAGTGTCATAGTAAGTAAAAGTGTTCAAAGATGATGAACAAGTTTGTAAATCATCAAAGTCTTCATCCAGTTCCTAACTTCTCTCCTTTGCGGGGTGTTACGACATGAGATATCTTTAATCAACTAAGATAAAAACAGAATGGTTCAAAATAAAATAAAAGTACAGAGCGGTTCATTTGCAATCTCTTACCATCCATAAACCCACGATGTCCTCTGTCTTACAGATGATTTCAGTAGAAAGGGTGATGGAATATACAAACCTTGAGAAAGAAGCGCCTTGGGAATATGAAAAACGCCCCCCGCCGGCCTGGCCCCATGAAGGCGTGATTGTCTTTGACAACGTGAACTTCACCTACAGCCTGGATGGGCCTCTGGTTCTCAAACACCTGACAGCGCTCATTAAGTCAAGAGAAAAGGTTTGTGTAAACCACCTTACCTCTTTAAAATCTCAACTTAGGGTTTAGTGGCTGCTTCCTACTGTTGGCTTCTTCGTGAATGAGTTAGGGGCCTCCTTGTTCTTAAGCAGATTACATCAGTGACTATAGGTAAATCTTGGAAACAGACTATGAATGTGAATACCAATATTTCTCTCGTGGTGTGAGCTGCCTCTTGGTGGTTGGTGAGCCCCGGGCCGAGGCTGGAACTTACCATGCCCCAGGATATGGCTCTAACATCTCATTATTCACACCTAAGTCTTATAAGTCAACCCTGGCTACTTGTCAGTATCTCTCTAGTATCTAGTTCCAATCAATTCTTACTAATTTGTATTTCACAGTCCTTCTCTTCCTCCTCTGGGTGGCCTTTAGTTGCTGCCCTCTGTCCCTTGGCCCATTCTGTAGACTTGCCCTCCTCTAATCCATCCTTTGCTGTCATTTCTCTGCCCTCCCACCAGCAGGCTGCTTCTTTCTGGGACACTGGTCTGATCCCTGTGGGTCCCCAATAGCTCCTGGCCTGGGTGATGCACTGCTGGACCCATAGCCCCAGGTCCACTCCATCGGGGTGGTATGGCCAGCACTCAGCCACCAGAGAAGATTCTGGAATCCATGACCAAGTCAGGACCCAGCTGGAGTCAGTAAAGGGCCCAGAGACTCACTCAAATTTGATGGAAGGAGGCTCAGGGGGCAGGGGAAGCCACACGTGGGGGACCCAAAGGAGGACCCACCAGGGGGACCTACCAGGTCTAAGTGCCCCGACAATGGGAGCTGGGCCCTCAGCTGGACCAGGGCAGGCTCTTAAAGAAGTGGTTTAACCAGAACAGACGAGGCTGTAGAAAGCTCTACTCTCACCTACCCCTCGAGTCCCAATTCCCAACATGAACCCTTCCATTCCCACCCCCACACTTGGCTAGTGTGAAGGTTCTGCCAGAGCATCAGGCCTCCTGGCTCCCTTTCCACAGGAACCCTTTTTTTTTCATCACCTGGATTTTGAGAGCCTCCTTGTTTTCAGAGTCAATTTAATGCTAGTACCCCCATGTTCATAGAAGGACTCATCACAGTAGCTGAAAGTTGGAAATAAACCAAGGGACTAATGGATAGTCAAAACGTGGTAGATCCAAACAATGGGGTATTATTTGCCTTAGAAATGAAGGACCTTTGTTTTAAATGAAAGAAGCCAGACACAAAACGACCGATGCTACATGATCCCACCTGGATGAAGTTAGGCGCGTTGTTAGGTTCAGAGACGGAGGAAATAGGATGGCAGTTGCCAGGAGCCCGGCCAGGAGCCGGCAGGTGAGGCGAGTGGAAGTTAGTGCTTCATGGGTATAGAGAGCATTGCATTGCAAGGCAAGAGAGTTTTGTAGATTGGTTGCACAACAATGAGAATGTACTTAACACTACTGAACAGTCTGTATACTTAAAATGCAATTTAAGTTGGTAAACTTTGTTATGTGTATTTTACCACAATTAAAAAATAAAGGTGGTACTTATGCCGTGCTTTGTAATTTGAGGTCTGCCCTCACAGTCAGTACACTGAGGCTTCTTAAGGTCAGGGAGCATCTCATTTTCATCTTTGTTCCCCAGAACATGGCACTCTGCAGGCGCACGGTGGGTGGGGAGGCACTGCCGGCTGCGAGAGTGCGTAATGCACAGGTGTGAAGTGCCCAGTAACAAAAACAGACACCCAGGTCAGCTCCTGTAAACAACCCATTACCTAGATGCATTAAGTACCTTAAGCACTGCTCTGTTAAGCTCTTCTCCACCACGGATCCATTTAGTGGACGATAGCCATAATTTAATGAATGATACCCTTGTGACATGAAAGAATAACTGTTCAACTTAATGCCCAAATGATACCCGGGAGCAGCTCATTATTTCCAGTTCTATTGCAGGTCGGGAGGGAGGTGAGGACTGCTGTGTAGGGGGAAACATTAACTACCGCTCTCGACGGAGTCCCATCCCTCAGAGCACTGTCAGGGAGGCTCACTCACTGGCAGACACTGACCATCAGATTGCACGTGCCACACATAATTCTGTTCATTTGCAACATGAATTAAATTTCCCAGGAAACCTCAGAGTATGAATTATCTAAGAAACTCGGTCGTACAGCTTAGAAACATAACAGATTTTTGTTCTTTAATCTAAAATGCACACCTCCCTTCCTGGAGTTGTAGGACTATCTTAGATTCTAAAATGTTTGTGGGAGCCGAAACCGGTTTGGCTCAGTGGATAGAGCGTCAACCTGTGGACTGAAGGGTCCCAGGTTCGATTCCAGTCAGGGGCATGTACGTTGGTTGTGGGCACATCCCCAGTGGGATGCAGCTGGTTGATCCCTCTCCCTTCCTCTCTGTAAAAAAATCAATAGAATATATATATATTTAAAAAATAAATAAAATAAAATGTTTGTGGGAAAATTGAGTTCGGAAATGGAAGTACGGTAACTCCAGTAGCTTGGCTTTTGCTGTGTCTTGGCCCACCACAGTATCACGTCATGCTCCACTCGTGTGTTTAGAGATCGTACCTGCCCAGCGTAGTGATGAAATGATTTCACTGTGCATGTGAAGGTCCCGGGTCCCATCTCCATGCCTATGCCAGGTCTGTTACTCTGGGACACCCCTCAGTCTGGCATTTGATGGAGAGAGGCAGTTCAGGAGACGTGGAGATGTGTGAAATGCTGCTCTATTCTCTTGCACGTATTTTCTCTGCTGTCCAGATTCCTGGAAAACGAGAAAGTCTAATAGGTACTAAGCGGCAATCTAATTCCTGTAGTAAATGAGAAAGTCTGATAGGTACTAAGCAGCAATCTAATTCACAGAAGAAACAACAAGTAAAAGAAAGAACCAAAGTGAGGCAAATAGCACCCTGGGCAACCTCGTTAGATTCTAAACACTGGCTGCATTTTTCATTTAGGCGATTTTGAGGTTGATTTGATCATTTTAGTGAGTACTGGGCCATTGTAAAGCATTTCCCAGCCCAAGAGGTAGATTAATTTTTTTTTTCTTGCTCAGAGCTATTTTACAGTTGTGTGCTTGATCTTGCTATAATGCGCAAAAATAGTAGTTCTCTGAATTTCTTCCTTTTTAACGTAGTGCTTTCTCAGGAACTTTTCCTCTCACTCCAGAGTGTCCCAGTCCTCAGGCCACTTCCAGTTTCCTTCCTACTCAGACCGCAGGGCATCACACCCCCATCACTTGAGGCGGACTCTCAAGCCCAACAGAGCTCTTGGCTCAGAATCCCATTTGAAAAGGGCCCCCTCTCCTGAAGTTCTACTCCCAAGGCAGTTTTTTATGACTGATAGCCCATGAAATGTCCTTTGACAGTTTGAAATTAAGCTCATCAATTACCCCATCCGCTATGATTCAGCAGGATGCTCTAGATCAGGGGTGGGGAACCTTTTTCTGCCAAGGGCCCTTGGGATATTTATAAGTTCACTCCTGGGCCATACAAAATTATCGCCTTAGAAATTAGCCTGCTTTATTGGGTCAAACATTTAATTAACTCACCCCAATGCCTTGGCAGGGCCAGATCAAATGACTTCTCTGGCTTCACACAGCCCACTGGCCGGTTGTTCCCCATCCTTGCTCTAGAAAGTTCTCTCACTCACCACCCCACAGGTTTGTTTTCTGTTCTCCACAAGATGAGACATGTAAAGCTTCTCCTAGCAGAGACCAACACAGCATAATCTCTTGGACAAAGAGGGCTGTTGTTATCACAGGGTGTACAAATGGTTGTCTGGCCTGTGAAAATGAGGGGGTTGGCCATTTGCAATCCCATTTATGGTTATAGGATCCATATAGGAGCCATGTCTGTCTTCTTTGTCCAGCTTATTGTCTACCTAAACAATATGGGAGTAGATGTTCCATAAATTTCTCCAGCCTGAGGTAGACTCCCCAAACTCTCTACAAAATGCCCCTTTTGTGCAGGACCTCACAGGCAATACAGATCATTCAAAGGTGAACTAATGCAGAGCCCCTGTCAACACATGCAGTCCAGAGAAGAAACAAGGAATTATAAAAATGTCTGCCACAGGAGATGGAAGGGGGTCACAGTTTTTATGGATGTGTAAAAGATGATGTAACATCTGTTAGGGGACAAGTAGAATGTTTCGAAGAAATGGGGCATTTGAAACAGAATTTGTGATGTGGTTAGGATTTCAGTAGGTGGAAATGCATGTGAAAGTCATTCTAGCATAAGCAAAGGTGTGATGCCTTGATTCATAGAATGAAGAACTAGGCACCTGCAGAGCCTTCAGGAAAATGAACCCCCAGGCGTGCAATACAAATATATATATATATATATATATATATATATATATATATATATATATATTATATTATATTATATTATATTTTATTGATTTTTGTACAGAAAGGAAGGGAGAAAGATAGAGAGTTAGAAACATCGAGAAAGAGTCATTGATCAGCTCCCTCTTGCACACCCCCTACTGGGGATATGCCCGCAACCAAGGTACATGCCCTTGACCGAATCGAACCCAGGGCCCTTCAGTCCCCAAGCCGAGGCTCTATCCATTGAGCCAAACCAGTCCCGGCTCATTTTCACTTTTAAACCCCACAAGTACCTAGTAATCGTAAGGATGCTGACTTTTGGAGACAAGGATAGAGAGGTTTGTTAGACAGTTTTGTAAAGAAGACTTCCAGGTACACAGACAAGCGTGGAGGGGTCCTTGGGAAGTTTAGCCTGAGAAGTGAGTGCACATGGACCAACGTGGGAAGATGCAAGAGGCAGGAAGTCACTGTCTATCTAATGTGTACTCCCAGCAAGGTGTTAATGGGGACCATGATTCCACTTTTTGGAATGAAACTGATAGTCTCTTAAAACAAAGTTATAACACCCAGTTTTATGGATGTGCAGTGAATCCGGTAAAAGTAGAAATTGATCTATTTATGGAAGGTAGTTTCGCAGGTACTTAACAGCCTCCTTTGAAAATGTTTATACCTGTCTGGCAGCAATTCCACATCTAAGAATTTTTCTGAAGGAAATAATTAAGGTTGTTTGCAAAGATTTAACTTCAAGAGTATTTGACACAGTTATTTATAATAGCAAAATATCTACAAAGAGAGGATTTGATAATAAACGATCACATACTATAATATCATGTAGCCATTAAAATAACTTATTAAATATTAAACAAAAGCAGGTTATAATTGTATATTCAGATTAACCCCATTTTCTTTAAATATATGAGCTAATATCTTAAGAAAACACACAGACACACACTTTGAAAGAAAATACTTAAACATCTTAAAAATGATTTTATCCTAGTGCTGGAATTACTCCTAGTATATATTTACCTTCAAATTTACTCTCAGTGATTATGATTAAGAAAAGGATTGGTTTTATTTTTGTTTTTTACGTGGTAATGCAGCCTTGCACACAGGTGAGGTCTGGGCATTATAATGAGGGGATTGGGGTCATGACACATTGCAGAAGTAGAGTCTTCAAGGCCATGCCAGTGTTGGAAAGAACTACAAATAAGGTGAATGTTCTGAGCCCATGAGCCTGGAAAAGAAGTTAGGGAGTGAAGAGGAGACGTCAGGAGGGGACCAGCTGTTGTGAGTGGGGCATTGGGTATTAATCATGTTGAATTGGATGTATGAAGAGACATTCAGGGGCAAAAGTCTACCACTCAGGTGTCAGTCCTCAGACCAACCTTAGCAGTTGCAAAGCAGCTAAAAGAAAACTGCCTCTTTGGTATTGTGAAAGTGAATGTACTGATTGGGGACAGTCTCCATGGGCAATTGGTAAAACCCACTGGTGGCGTGTAAAGACTCCAGCTTAGCTTTTTTTTAAAGATTTTTTTTATATATATATTTTATTGATTTTTTACAGAGAGGAAGGGAGAGAGATAGAGAGTTAAAAACATCGATGAGAGAGAGTCATCGATCAGCTGCCTCTTGCACACCCCCTACTGGAGATATGCCCGCAACCAAGGTACATGCCCTTGACCGGAATTGAACCTGGGATCCTTCAGTCCACAGGCCAACGCTCTATCCACTGAGCCAAACCGGTTTCGGCTCCAGCTTAGCTTTGATGACCTGTCAGCAGAGAGAAACAGAGGTGGGTTTTCTCTGAATGACCATTTTCTTATCATCCTCACTGTGATTTGGAACTCCCAATCCTATGATCCTGAGCCTCAGCCGGGCAATAAATTCTTTTTTCAAATGCATTATTGATTTTACAATTAGGCTTTGAATCTCTGGAGGTATTCAAATGAGAAAATATGTACGGTTCCCAACATATAATCAGTGCTCAGAAAGGTTTAGTTCTTCTGTGCTTAAAGCCGTGAGTTTTTTAAAGTCTAGTGAAATAATTTAGTGATGCAAAGCATATCTTATGCCCCTCATTGATCCCAGAATCCTGGGCAGCTCCCACCAAGGAATTTTCATTTGAGCAAAGCTCCTTGGTTTAAAAACACACATAAAAAAACCATCTCCCTCCCCAAAGCAAACAAACAAACAAACAAAACAATAACACACATACACATATACACAGCACTTTCTGCATACAGATTTAAAAGCACACAGCTAAAAGCCAGTTTTTACAATACTGTTTCACTCCTGACCAGCATTATACTGATTCTTTGATCTTATTGTCAGTGCACTTAATTTCTCTCTGGTTTTAATAACTAGACTGATACTTGACATGTTTCTTTCCCAAGGGGCAATTTATAACTATTAATTGGTTTGTAAAATGCCTTTTGAACTGCTCAGATGAAAGGTCTCATATAAATAGTAAATGCTTCTTATGTTGTTGTTGTTGTTGTTGATTTCATTGTGTGTATTTTGACTACTTGCTACTTACTGTCTTTTAAGACACTGAAACCTACATTTTTAAAGTGTTTAGATCTTTCCTTTCAAGAACAAACATAACCAGGTATTTAATATCCAGAAGTGATTTAGCTTCTTTACCAAACAATACTTCCTCTTTAAAGGTAGGACCTGGGAAAGAGGAATACTTGTTTATGTATAACACTTCTGACTTGACTTGTTGGCACCACAATAAAAAAGCATCCAAGAAATTCTCAAGTTTCAAAATATCCAGACACAGGGATAAAGCGAATTTAAACCTGATTTCTTATTGACCACATAGAAGTCGATGGCCTTTCATCGTCAGGAGACTGAGTCTCTTATTTTTAACTTTTCTTTGGACAGAGAAAAAAATCACCAGGGGCAGTTTGCCACCCCAAAAGACATTTGTCAGTTCTGACATTTTTGGTTGGCACAATTTGGGGGGTGCTACTGGCATCTAGCTAGATAGAACCCCAGGATTCTGGTAAACATCGTATAAAGTAAAGGATAGCTACTGTCACACAACAAAGAGTCATCTGACCCAAAATGCTGACAGTGTCCAAGTTGAGAAATTCAGACTAGATTCAGTGTAGAACTTGATTTGTCTTTATCAACTAGGATTTCTCCTCAGTTTGTTGCATATTGTGTGTTTTTAAAAATCTTGCCTGGATTTCTTTGCAGGTTGGCATTGTGGGAAGAACAGGAGCTGGGAAAAGTTCCCTCATCTCGGCCCTTTTTAGATTGTCAGAACCTGAAGGTAAAATTTGGATTGATAAGATCTTGACAACTGAAATTGGACTTCATGACTTAAGGAAGAAAATGTCAATCATACCTCAGGTATGCAAGTCAGAGAATTCTCACATGATCTTTTTATAAGGGCACCTAAGTTTAATTGCCTTTAATTTTATTACTGTTTAAAAATGAGTTAAAGAGGTGATCCATTCCCCCCAAGTAGAGCATATTATTTAACAGCAGGCATTTTTAACTGACATTTTAATCAGTTGACAAGTTTAATTTGTTTGTGCATTTGTTTTGGTGTGTGTGTGTAAGAGAAAGAGAAGAGAGAGGGAGAAATTTAATAATTTACCCAGGTAGATTTCTGGACTCAAACTTCTCCAAGTTCACAATTTTATCTACTGACTAGAGGCCTGGTGCACGAAATTTGTGCACCGGTGGGGTCCCTAGGCCTGGCCAATGATCGGAGCCTATTGAAGCTGTCTCACCCAGTCCTGATGGTGGGGGGGAGGGGACTGGGTAGGCTGAGGCCTGTTAGCTGCTGGGCAGGACTTGGGGGCCTGCTGGTTGTGGGGAAGGACTGCCGTTGGTTGGCTGGCTGTAGGAGGTTGGCTATAGGAGTGTCTGACCACCAGGGGGCAGCTCCTTTGTTGAACATCTGCTCCCTGGTGGTCAGTGGTTCTCATGGCAACTGGTTAACCCATTATTCTGGTCATCTGGTTGCAAAGGTCACTTAGGCTATATATCTCTACATAATTTTGAGAATAAAATGATAAATGGTTTGTTTAGCACTTGATAGATTTCTATAGGAAAACATTGATTTTAAGTTACTTAATGAAGGCATTTTGCAGCAGGAAAGAAAGCTACCTTTTCATTGGTGGTTATCTCCATGGAGACTTTTCTATGAAACTGAATGGCTTTGAGAATTTTGGAGTGCATAAGAACTCAGGGGAGACTTTTCGAACTCTAGCCATTAGTAAATGGTACAGGCCAGGGATGCAGTGCAGTGTAGTGAGCAGGAATTCCATCTCTATGCACCTCAGACTTCTCTCCAGTACATGTTAGCTAGCACTACCAAGTCCCAGAGCTGCTGTGAGGACTAAATATGTAAGTGCCTGTGGAGTGGTTCACCTGCTGTGATGATGGAGGGTTAAATTGACCCTTGTCCAGAGTTCTAATTGTTTCCTTTTACTCTGCTTCATAAGACAGGCATGGCCTTCAGGCAGGGTTCTAGAGATGGGTTATATGCACAATAGGAGTTCCTGTCATGCCTGTGGTTCATCTTCTCAACATAAATTCAGGGAGCATGTACTGAGCAATTGCTTTCCTCTAGTATATAGCTAAGGGCAACATAAGCCCTGTACCTATTGGCCGAGGCCTCGGGTCCTCCATCCTACCCTCTGCTTTGACACTTAATACATGTTCAGCTTTATACTTGCTGATTATTTTTAAATTTAAGGTTTTTTGTTTAGTTTTACACTGTAATCATCTGGCCATGAAGGGAAGCTGAGGAAAAACATACCACCTGTTGAGATGAGAAACACAGAGAAGAGACGAGACAGAAAGAGCCAGGCCAGTCGGCTTCCTGCATGTGGGTAGAAAAAGCTCTTAAGTGCCTGATCATTAGGAAGCATATAGGACATGGTACCCCAAGGGAAGGAGAATGTGGACTTGTGTCTTAAGACCAAGTTCAGCTATTGCTACCTACCACTGACCTGTAAAATAATTGGACTTTCTCTAAGTAATTTCAAAATCTATATTTCCCCTTCAAAACCCCATTCAGATGCTAATTCACACCCCTTCGGTTGACTACTACCTAAAGGGACAAAACAAACAGAAAATGACAAGTATTGGAAATTATGTAGAGAAATTGTAATCCTTGTGCTGGTGGGGATATAAATGGTACAGCCACTGTGGAAATCAGGATGGAATATTCTCCAAAAATGAAAAATAGACTTATGATATGACCCAGTAATTCTACATCTGGGAATAAACCTCAAAGACTTTTGAAGGGACTTGAAGAGATATCTGTATACCCATACATTATTCATAATAGCAAAAATGTAGATATACTCCATGTGTTGGGGATGAATGGATAAACAAAATGTGGAATATCCATGCAGTGGAATATAATTCAGCCTTAAAATGAAGGCAGTTTGGATATATACTGCAATATGGATGAGCCTTGAGGACATTATATGTGGAATAAGGATAATACTATATGATTCCATTTATATGATGTGCATAAAGTAGTCATATTCATAGAGACAGCCATAGAATTGTGGTGTCCAGGGGCTTCAAGCAGTAGAGAATAGGGTGTTGTTTAATAAGTACAGGTTCAGTTTTGGTGATGGATGTTCAACAATGTTGAATGTATCGAATCCCTCTGAACTGTACACTTACAAGTGGTTGAAGTATCCCTACTTGGTTTGACTCGGTGGATAGAGCATTGGCCTCCCGGGTTTGATTCTGGTCGAGAGCACATACCTGTGTTGTGGGCTCGATCCCCAGTAGGGGGCATGCAGGTGGCAGCCAATCAATGATTCTCTCTCATCCATTTCCTTTCCTCTCTGAAATCAATAAAAATATATTTAAAAAAATAATAAATAAAAGTGGATAAGGTAGTAAATTTTATGTGTATTTTACAGAATTAAAAAAAAAAATGGTTTAAAGATATCCCTTTCAGAAAAAATGGTAAGGAATTTTCAGCACATAAAATCCTGGTATTGAAAGATTCCTTCTGGGCTATTAGATTCATGATTTAGTAATTCCAGTAAAAAATATGAATTTAAATCCCCAAGTTTTATATTTTGGCGTACCCATCTCTGAAATGGGCCAAAGAGATTTACTTAGCAGAAACAATGGGCATGTCTGTAAAGTACTTTCATATCCTTGGATGAAAGGATCTAGAAACGTGTCCTGTGTTACTTTTAATGCTTCTTAATAAGAAATGGTTGTATGCCTGTGTACATAAAAGAAATGTGTAAATAAAGAAATAACGTTAGATGATTCTTGGCCATCCCAGTAATGTTTTGGAAGCACATCTGAGCAATGACTAAATACACTTTGACATCACCAGGTTTTGGTTCCACTCCATCAGTTGCCACCCTACTTTTGAGCATGCTCTATATACATACTCCAGAGAGAGTGCTGACAAAACAGAGCTGAGCTTTGTATCCATGAAGATAATGATCACCAACCATTGTAAACACAGAACTTTATTTTGTTTTTCACTTTATATGCCTTTGTCTCCAAGGCTCGGTGTTTGTTGATTCAAGAAAGAGAGTTAGTAGAGACTGTCTAGGGGTCACACAGAAACATTCACGAGGCAGCCAGGGGTAGAAGCTCCGAAAGTGGAGACCTAGTGTCTGACCTGCTCTGCCTCACAGGAGTGTGTGACCTTGACGACGCTGCACGGCCTTCAAGCTTCAGTTTCCTTGTCCTTCCGCTGGGTCTAGTATTATAATTCCTGCCTTGCAGAATTGTGCAGAGACTTCACTGGATGAGAAAATGTTTGGGCTTCATAGAAATGCTCAGTCAATAGTAACTGTGATTATTAAGGACCGGGTTACTAGCCTTTCTGGTATGTTGCTACTTAAGTAAAAATAGTAAAACACTCTGGACGGATTTTGCTCTTTAATTTTTACTCATGTGTTTGTGGTCCTCGGTGGTTTTTCTTCATATTCATTATGACATGAACCAAATTGTTTAAATAAATTTGAAGAGTGGAGGGGAAAAGTGAGGGTTGGGGAGAAATTTATCCAATATTTGTCTCACAGGAACAACAGGAGAGAGTAGCACTTCTTTTCATCCTCTGTTTTCTGGCCCCCCTACCACCACCGGTCTTTTTTGGCCACTGCTCTGTACCCCATTCATACACTGTAGTCCCCCACGGAGATCCCTGCCATTTTTTCCCAGCCCTCCCCACAGTCCCAGCTGTTTTCTACCACTCCTTGAACACAGCTATGGCTCTTGTTGTGTGCTGTAGTACTTGTAGTTCCTGACAAGTTACACGAATATTAATAACTAGAGGCCTGGTGCACAAAATTTGTGCACCATGGGGGAGGAGAGTGAGCCCTCAACCTGGCCTGTACCCTCTCGCAATCTGGGACCCCTTGGGGGATGTCCAACTGCCAGTTTAGGCCCGATCTTGTAGGGATCCCTGTGGGATTGGGCCTAAACTGGCGGTCAGACATCCCTCTTACAATTTGGGACTGTTGGGTCCTAAACGCTGGCCTGCCTGATTGCCCCTAACCACTTGCTTGCCTTCCTGATTGCCCCTAATTGCTCTCCTGCCTGCCTGATTGCTCCTAACCACTCACCTGCCTGTTTGATCACCCCTAACCACTTGCCTGACTGACGGATCACCTTAACCACTCACCTGCCTGCCTGATCACCCCTAACCACTTGTCTGATTGCCTCTAACTGCCTCTACCTGCCTGCCTGATCACTCCTAACTACTCTGCCTGTCTGCATGATCACCCCTAATCACCGCTGCCTTGACCGCTGCTACTCTGGCTTCGTCTGGAATGATGTCTGGAAGGTCGTTTGGCTGTCTAGTCTAATTGGCATATTACGCTTTTATTATTATAGATATTTTCTAATATTTGTTGGCTCTGTAGCACATTTTAGCCTCCTTCTTTATCTGACAGATTAAAAACCTGAGGCACAGTAAACTAAACCCACTCAACAATTAAGCAGCAGAGTCAGGATTTTAATTTAATTTTGGGAGATTCCCAACTCCTGCATCTGCGCACCGAACCTCTCCACCTGGGACTTGAACACACTGTTGACTGCGGTCCACCGTAGAATGCTGTGTGTGTCACAGTAGAATGCTGTGTGTATCATTTTGTGTGTGTCACACACACACATACACACACACACATTTTCCAAAACAATATTACTCTGCACTCTACCTTCTATTATATTCATTCTATGCTTGTTTATATAAAAGACTAAATCATGATCATGAGGCACAAAATAGATTTCATGATCCATTGGCTTCACATACAGTATGAAAACCCCCGCCCCTCATTGTCCCCCTGTTTGGTTGGCCTCCACGTACATGTTAGCACCTCACTAGGAGCCACGTACATGTTAGC